TATAACTTCTGTCCCTGTGGACCTAGAAAGTTCAAATTTGGCATGAGCCCAGGCGGCCGGATGAGAACACTTATGGTGAGTGGCAGAACCGGAATCTGTCCACAACGGGGGGCTTTGAGCAGAAAATCATAACTCCTCCAGGGGGCGGGGCTTGCAGAGAAATGTCAGAATGGACCTAGAGCGACCAAACTCTGTAGGAATACAGGAGGCAGGATATGAACACTGATGATAGGTTGCAAGACTAAATCCCGCCCTAAAGGGCTGGGCGTGAATAAATACTGTTAGATCGGACCCAGACCGTTGAAACTTGGAGGCACATGGAGTTGGCTGGGAACATTGATGGTAGCTAACATAGTAGACTCAGCGGCGATGAAGTCTCTGAATACTTTTCTTTCTTTGAATAAGCGCCTTTGTGATGTTATGCGATGTTCTATTCGGACACAGCGAAGATGGCTCATAGAAAAAAAAACGCTCTTAATTTGGAGCTGATACTGAGGGTGTAGAGCTTCCAAAGAAAAAAGAGAATCCGAAGAGTTATTTACACATAGCAAATTTCTCACAGGATGGAGGAGCGCCCGGCGTAGCCGGGCGAACCCCTAAGAAGGAGGGAAGCCCGGCGTCAGCCGGGCGGCCCGACTGGTTAAATAATAAAGACATTGCTACTCACCCATTCACGGTTTTCAAACGGTATGCCTCTGTGGCCAGGCGTTGCAATGCCAGAGGAAAAACGGTACTTTCCGAGCATACAGTGACAAATTCTGCCCATCGATACACAGCAATCCTTGGCAAAGGCAAAAGGATAGATGATTTAGCCGATGCTTTCTGAATAAACCTTGTTATTTCGGCGTTTACGTAAAAGTAGAGGATAGAATGGATAGGACTTTTCTTGCCAACCTTTGCAGCTTGCTCTACAGTAGTCTTGTCTTTCTTGACCAATGTTTCGTATAAATGTTGATAGAACACTGGATAACTCTTGCTTTCCACAAGGAGAAGGAGGTACGAGGCCCATGGCGAAACCGCATACATATTACTAGCTATCAGAGGAGGTGGTGCTTGTTCTGCAGTAAACATCGACAAAATTCCACGCGAGCTCTCACGCCACGATGTGAGCATTTGCTAAAAAGAGAGTAGTATTCTTGTGTTTTTATCCCCTATATTTTACCAGACATTGACTTTGGGAAAGTGGCAAATAACGCCGTTACCAAAAATGGTGGTGGCTTGATTGGTTTGTCCATAGCTACTCTCAATCTTGAACCGCATTCGCAATAATCAAGTCATAATCAAATATTCGAAAGTCCTTGCAATCATTACAATTCTAAATGGAAGCCCAATATGTGGGCATATTCCAACAAGAGATTATCAATGCTAATGTGAACCGCACTCTGTCAGCAGTGGTAACTGAAGCCGAATCTCACATAAGATGTTGGAAATTATTCTACGAGAAACTTTGGTAGACGTCTCCATATCAGATGACAGCCTTTGGACCAGCCTTTTACCTACAGGTTTTTTACTCTACCTGAGGGACAAAGATCCACCTAACAGTGGAAACCATCTCGTAACTGCCAGCCAACCTGCACATAAGCGAAAAGGTTCTGTGGGGGTTTTGCTGGTTCACTGTATTCCAATTGTATTTTTGGTGGTATTCCATATTATACAGAACTTGAGGATACCTGATAGAGATTGTAGACTATGTCTGGAATTCCGAGAAGATTAACGGGGTCGTTAATGAACGTGATGTGGGTGATTGAGCCGAGAACTTGAAGAGTTGCCTGAAAGTATCAGTACCCGTATGAAGCTTACAAGTTAATTGAAGGAAGTACAGCGGTTTCCAGGCAACTGATCATTCTGAACATACATTGTCATTAATCCATAGTGTCGGTCTTCGAACACAAAGAAGATTGATCCAAGCTCGCAAATACTCGCCGGTATCAAGCACGTGTTTTGAATAGTACTGTAAAATAGAAAATACTCTCGTGAGTCGTATCATGAGACGTTAAAAACTCGCAGAAGAAGGAAAACCAAAGCCTGACCGATAACGAAGAGCAAATGAGCCGTACGATAGGTGTAGGCTTTGATGATGGACCAGTTATCCATTGAACTGCGTAGGAGCATTGGTCAACGTGTAGGATACGATCAAATAACTCCATAAACCTTAACTATAGATTTTCAGAGTAGTCCGAATATTTCATTGCAACCCTCAGATACAGTAGGCCTAGCTTACCCTTTGTGCGAGCCAAAAGAGTATACTTTCGAGTAGTGTTTCTGCATGAGCCTAGCCAAAAGAACGACGCAAGCAGTTGAACATCCTGCCGCAACCAGGTCATTCATAAGCGGCACACCTCTCTCCAGAAACACAGAGGGACTGTAATTGGCACCCACCGTTTAGGCCCTAGCAGCAATTAAAGAACAAGCTCACCTTTCAAGGCAGCTCTGGTCAATAAAGATGAAAAACGCGGATAGATCATTCTGAGGTGTAATGTCGTTTTGCTAAAGAACTGCTACCTTATGAATCGACAAGGTTTCAATTTCAACTCCTTTCCAATCCTACCTTCGGATTCAGCTTTACTTTGATCAAAATATCCCAACAAAACTGATTGAAGAGCTGCTCATGATCAGCCATGCGACTAGCCAATTTAGAAATTTGTCGAATAGACTTAGCTATCATGCCATTAGAGTGTCCGCAGTGGATTGAATGTGCCTGAGCGATAAAATGTTTTATGAAACATAGCGATGGGCATGGAGTGACTGAACAACAATTCAAAAATCAAACCAACCTTCATCACTGTATCTGCAGATATCTCATGCACAGCTGGATCTAACCAAAGCTGATCGCCGGATTCGTTAGGGCCCCAGTGAAGACTGGATAAAATGCGACGTGCCATACGGTTAGCTGCATCGTCAGGCGGCTGGAATATGCGGGAAATTGGCGACTTAAGCTTCCATGACGTTCAGAAATTCACCTTATTTATGAGCCATTTTCCCAGGATACTCAACATAGCCGGCGAAAGCTTGCATCCAGATAAGTTTGAAGATGCCAAAACATCGATAGCATACTGAAACAGTACATTGTTACCGTTTGTTTAATCCCACCATAAAACCTCCTGAGCTCACAGCCGAAATGCCGAAACATTTCGAAAGCACAAGGTTCAAAGAGAAGTTCCAGTTAAATCAACTTACGTTATCCATATGCGACATACTTCGATCAAGCATGGTCAGCAGCTGATCGAAAGAGGATGGTCGCCTAGCGATGAGCAACGAAATCGCTTCACTGCCGACCTTGTATAAACTTTCCCGGGAAGATTCATCACAAAAACAAACCTTAAACATTGTAATACCAATCACCGTGCCCTGTCGGAAATATTGGAAAATTTGACCAAAATTTTCATTAGACTTGGAAAGCACGCCATAGGATTTCACCTCTATGATTTCCTTCAGCAGATGCGAGGCATCATTGTGAGAATAGGAGGAAAGAGCAGCAAGTGTGTTGATCAAGAAGACAGCATCCTGAGGACCTACTGCTTCGGCCCGCTCCTTCATACCACCTATAAAACAAGGCAGTATTGGACAAATCGCAAAAAATCAGAAGAGAAAACAGGTTGATCAACGATTCCTGATTGATTCGTTCTCTGATGTCCAACAAATCTCCGAAAATTTCAATTTCAATTTCAAGGATTCCAAGCTAATAGTCGATGCTAGAAGGCAGCGAAAATAAAAAAGTTGGAGAATTTCCGACTTCTTTAGTTTCCAACGAATAATTGTAAAAAGTGCGACATTGATTGTGTTGCGTTCCTTACTATCACCCATCTACTTGATCCTTTAATCTCGCACTCTTGGAAGGTCTCACCCCAGGAGGTGCCCTTAGTATCGCTAAAGGCTTACAATAGTAACAGAGAGCGTAAATTCAGCAAAATGCTGAAGTATAGCAGAAGCGCATAGGCAAGGAAAAGTACGACTCTTTCCAGTGGGAGCACGATTTTAGCATCAATACTACGAATAAAATTTGGAGCCAAAAAGACGAGTTGAACTGACCTGTTTTATTTCGTGCTATCACTTCAGAAATCGGCACGTCGTATATTTCACACACTTTCACTTGTTCGGTAGATCGCAGAAAGTATTCGCAACGGCAGCGACATTCCTCAGAAACACAGTCGTACGGCAGATCAACGAGGAATTGCCACAATCCAAATCTGAATGCAAAAACCTCTTAGATAACGACGAAACCCATTTTGAAGAGCAAGAACCATGAACTGACGGCATGTTTTGAATTCTGTTTATGGAAAGTAATACCCTGGTCTGGAAGTGATATACTGCAAAGCAAGAAGCACTATGCGGTCGACCTCCTTTTGCAGCTGACTGTCTTCTCCAGCTCGCAGCAAATTTCGTGTAATGGTCCAGTGGCTACATAACTCACGAACGCTTTGTCTAGAATACCGATTAGTAAACAATGAATCACTAACGAAATAACCTGAAAGAACTATAGTCGGATCCTACCTTAAATTGTTTCCAATTTGCTTGCAAAATGACTTGTACGTTGGCGCGCAGTACGTAGATAGCCCAGTATCAAGCACCTGTAATCACTTCATTACAGTTAAATAGCATAAAAACCTTTGAAATAGAAACTTATCTACCTTCATCAATAAGAGTTGAAATGCAATCAGAGAGACAAACTGATCGCCTTTATCGGATGCTAAAACTCGAAGAATATAGAGGGATGAGTGCCATTGGGAACATAACGAAGACGTACTTGAACTGGAGAAGTAAAGGTAAGCTAAAGAGTAGAGCTCCGATATAGGCAACTGGTCGAGGAGCCCAGTGAGATCGGCCTCATTGATCGTGACCAAGGAAAAGTCACCCTGAACGTTGCAGTATTAGCTGACAGTTGTAACGCCTTGAAAAGATCACTAAGACTGAACAAAGAGTACCTCCTCCTCATCCCCACTCAAAATAGCCCAGGTTGAGTCTTCCGTTTCTGACAGAGCTATTTGACGCAGAAACGTCTCACGGGCACTGAAAGCAATTGATCTCACATGAGGTGAAGTTCAGAAAACTTTGAGCGGAAACTCACGAAATAGGATTCATCAGGTGAGAGAGCATAGTAACACAATAGTCGACCTTGACTTTCGGTGGCGATGGAGCCTAAAATACATACCCAAGCCACTAGTGGCACTTTCCAGGCAAGGAAGGCCGTCTCTAAGTCAGACTGCTCTAGATACTGCAAATCATGTCTGTATCAGATGAAGAATCTACTGATGTCGTGTATGTAGCACATTCTCCCGATCGAAATCGCTAGATCGCTTTTATCGAAACAAAGTTCAAACCCTTGTTGGCAATATTCTAGAGAACGATGAAAAAGTCTCAACATCCTATAAACTCTTTGTAACTTTCGTTACCTGAATAAATGTTTGTACCAACGGAGCCGCCCATTCTATGATCGGAGAGGGAAGGCGGAGGAGGTGATTCAGAACGAACTGCGCATCTTCGCATCTGCACAGCATATACAATATGCATATCTGGAAATAAAATAAAGCTCATGCGATTGACGGTGAGTAGTTCTTTCGTCATCAAGCAACATACCAGTTCTTTCGCCCAACCAGTCAATGCATCAGTGAAGCGCTTGGCTAATGATGGGAATCTCAGATGGAAAAAAACGTCCGACAGGGCATTCAACAATAGAACTCTTCCATTAGAAATGACAGCATTCTCCAACACTAATATATTCGAAAGCATTAAAACATGACGGTCGAATATCTCAACAGTTATAACTCACAAGTGGGTGGGCACTGGAGAGATAATCCGTTTTCTTCCATAAATTGCTGATTGATGGATATTACGACCCATTGAATCTGAGCAATGGGGTCAATTCTCATGCTTCCAACATGGAACTGCTTTACTTACTTGAAGAGCAGTTGCTCGAAATTGTGATTCTTGGCAGATACGCTCATCCAACAAATGAGTTCGGTTGGCAGCGAGCAAATTCTTCAATTCTTCTACTTTCTCCATGCATAACACTGATTTATGATACCGACCAGTTCCAGAAGCTTCCTTATTCTCACCACATTTACCCTACAAAAGGAACGATAACGAGAATATTTCAGACCGCCTCATATGATATGCATATGCATTACTACATCAAGCTGAATAGTTAAAACTTACTTTGGTCTCGAATGTTTGCTGTTGCATTACCCAACAATCGCGCAAGCACTTGCACAGGCTTTCAGTGTTCTCCTTTTCACTGACTTCACTTATCGACATTTGTTCGCAAAGTTTTTTCAATCGTTTCAGAAGGGGAAAGAGTGGGCCAGAAGATGTCAAATTGTTCTAAAAGAGCACGATAAAGCCTTGTTCGATGGTAGTGAAAGGAGTAAGCAAAAAGGGAATAAATAAATAAAAAATAAATAAATAATCACAAAATGCATGAGAAAATAAAGATCCCATCGAGTAATAGAGCATCCAAATCACAGGAAATGATCCAATACCTGGACGAACTTGTCGGCGAACTCTTCGCTCATCATATAGAGCGGATTATGGTAAAAAGCCAGCAAATTCTGTTCAGTGAGCAGCCCATAGCTATCTTTCTCGTAGTGTGTTTTCGTCAAAGACGGATACAGAGGAGGTGCATCGGCAACTTGTGAAGCTATGGATGCGCTCTGAGAAACAGTGTGATCTCATAACTTCCAATGCCTTTAAGAAAAGCTCTTACTTTCTCCATGATTCCTCTCGAAAGCTCCTCATAAAGAGGAGGAGGCGCTACTGTTGTCGTGTACGTAGAGCTCATAGTGCTTTCAGAAAGTTGTGGAATAGTTGGATAACAGACAGGATCAAAAACAGCTACTTGTGCTGGCAAGGATGAAGCCGCCTCCACAATTGGGGTGCTAAAGGAAGAACTAAAAATTCACGTTTCAGAGGAAAAACTAAAATCTAACCTCTCCTCAGATTCAATAGCTATTTCACTAGAAACAACTTCGCTCGAAGAAGGAACATCAACTGCTTCTGCAACCATTGTCGTAGATGGCTGCTCATCTTCCGATAAAACACTGAACTCAAGTAAATGAGATCATCCACAGGAAGCTTATTGTCACTATTTTGGGAGCCTTTCAAATAGTAAATTTATGGTTTCATTTCATGCGCAGACTGAATTATTACCTGACCAACACTTACTTGTTAAGAATGATCAGCTGCCCTCATCCATGGGGAAAGCGCCAAATTATGTTTCAAATGTGAACAAATACCTATCGGAAAGCACACAGTTCACACAGAACACTTGCGATCAGCTGATGACCACAAGGACACGTTGCGCTAACAAATGAGTCATATTTCACGGATCAATTCCCTCTTTGAGAACTAAAGTAATCACAGCTGAAAGCATCCGAATATTCATATAATTTTCTAATATGACCATTCACATAAGCTCCAAACGAGAATAGCAGAGCAACTGCGCTAAATAGAACATTGAATCCTTCAACCTTGCGTCTACCTTACTGGTATTAGAAATATGACACCTACACTTCTTCCGGCTCAGGAGTGCTGGCTCTGCAGGGTTCATGTTGTGGAACATCCGGCAACCTCATTCCCATAACCACGGCAGGCCGTGACGGAACGGGTGGGGCTTCACGAGCCGGAACACGCTCTTTCGGTTCTTTCGGTTTCGGCTTCTTCGGTTTTACTGCTTCCATTCTTTGAAAAGAAAACAATTAGTAGATACAATGATGATCCTCAAAAGACTGAGACCTTGGNTGAGGTTGTTCAGGGAAAGGAAAAGAAACCCACAAGAATTCCTTTTGCTTTCACGAGAGAAGAAAATCTAGACGTCGAATGAAATGCCTTTGGCGTTTGCTGTTTTACGTGAAATTACACCATTTGCTCAAGTTCTTGCCTGAGGATAATGGATGGATTTTGATGCTTATCTATGTGAAGATTAATGTTTCTTGCTATTCTCTTGTTTACCCAAGTCGCACTTATGCTAGGCGATATTGCGAGTGGGTCCATCGTTGAAGGTAAGCTCTATGTTTTGATTGAGACGATTGAAAGCAAAGCTCAATCTATCAAAAGAGGAAATCGAGTCATTTTTTCCTACTCACAATGTTAATGGCGTTGATATAGTGACTGCCGAGTGACACATCTTGCTAGTGGATGGATTTAGTGGAAATGACCTCTCGCTCTGATAACTAGAGTTAAACTTTGAAAATTTAGGTATCGGCAACGACGCTCTTGCTTTGTTTACATTGTTGATAGTTAGCTCTATAGCATGCATCATCAGTTATTTTATGAGGTAGTCATTTAATTTGTTTTCGCCGGGTTGCTTTCGAAATCCGGCATTCCTTTCAGAGGTGGGAGGGTTGCACAGATCCATCCAGATTTGGCTGGAGATGTTCAAGGCTTTCGCGAATCGTTCGCACGAGGTCACAGTGGCAGAGTGAACGATACTCGGGTAAGCCACAGTATCTCTTCCTTCGTCTTGGTCTACGGAAGAGCAAAGATTTTGGAATGTCTCAGTCTGAACCAACGTATCCCTCTGCTCGAAATTCCTTCATCACTCTTAAATATCCTTATGAACAAGCTCATCGAGCTAGGAGCCTCCCTTCTCTCTTAAAGCGATCGAACTCGAAAAGGCTGAACCACCGCAGCTGGGTATAGGTTGACTCAGAATAGGCCAAGTTCCCTTCGAGGTGGTGTAACTGGTGGGGGAAGGCTTCAACTATAGGAATAGACCTTATATTAGACATCCCAGTTGCGGGATTGCGAGGAGGACCAGTTTTTTTTTNTTTTTTTTTGTTTTGGGTCCTATGTATCTTCAGAATTCCTATGTACGAGCGGAGAGTGGCGCCGAGAGAATGTTTGGTGCTCTACTATATATATTCTCTATATATATTCTGTTATAGTTGTTTATAGTAATTGATTGATGCAGTTTTCTTATCCTTGCCTTTGAGCCCTGTCGGGTTTAATTTCGAACTCAAAGCAAAAAAGGATTGCAAATTTACTTTTAGACTTCTATGTTCGGTCTCCTCGCAGCTTGGGCATGTCATAACAATCATTTCTTCGAGGCTATTCCTGTTAAATGATGAGAGCTACTTTTATAAACTTGTTCTGAGCTTTTCTAAACGCTTTGTCGTAAGTTAGGGTTGAATGGCTCTAAAAATTTCGAGACTTACACAATGGTCTCGACTGCGGATCATTCAGCCCAGACTATTAGACAAATGACTTATTCATGCATTGGATATGGGTCACGCATGGGTCCATTGTGCTATCAGTAATGCGCTATTTCAGCGAGAGGAAGCGGAACGACCAGATGCAGTTCATACATGTCCGATTTGCTACGACAACGCCCTTTTCCCTACGCTTACTAACTGTGGACATATATTCTGCTGTAAGAATGCAAAATAATCTGCGTTTAGTTAGTGGTAGAAATTGAGTTGTTTGAGAGATTCATTTGTGGGGCTCAGTGTTTCTTTTCAGGTGAATGTATAATGGGATATTGGAGACACTCTTCATCTTTAGTATCTCCTGTTAAATGCGCTATTTGTCGAACTGAGGTTGGCATGATTCCCATTTATTTCCCTCTTTTTCAATTATATTCATTATCTTGAAGGTAACAGTGCTGCTTCCCCTAAATTGGCCTGTTGATGAAGAGAACAATCGACTTCGGGAAAACAATATTGGTTTGAATGACTACAACAGAAGGTTTTCTGGAGATAGGCCTGTAAGTTGCTGATCCATTTCAGTGCTCCCTCATGAAAACCATAAGCCAGAATTTGGACGCTCTCTTAAGTGAAATCTTTTTCAGTGGCTGGAATATTTATGGGATGTGCCGGTGCTGATTCCCTACATTGTGCGGAGTCTCTTCGATCTCAACGGCCTTATGATTATGTTCAGGTATGCATTATTACAGTATCTTTTGTCAACTCTGTCAATTTGCTTCTTCAGATTGCGAGTACTCTTTATTGCAATCGGCATATTCACGTATGTTTTATCCCCTTTCGACATAATCCCAGAGTCAGCTTATGGCGTAATCGGTTCGTATCCAGGCACATCTATTTGTCATCCCTATCAGAAATGTTTTTTCTGCCCCCCATGTATAAATAGCATGTTATAGGCTTGATAGACGACTTGTTCGTAGCCGTCCTGTTGCTTGTTTACATTGCCATTGCTGTTCGACATGTCATGGCTCGCAGAGGAGAAGCACCAGCTGAATAGAAGCGGACTTCCTTAGAAAACTAAGTCATAATCACCGGTAGAGTATTGATAAGTTTAGATTTCTAGCGATTTATACATTAGTATGAGTCTTAAGGCTGGTCAATCCATCAATTTGCACATTTATATGTTCTTGTTGCCTAGAAATACGAGTAATAAATAATTCATTGGCTCCGTACTGTGTAACTATCTCTGAAGAAGTGGTTTATTACCTATAGTATATCAATGATCTTATTTTCTGAAAAAAAAANAAAAAAAAATTTGCTTGTCGTCGAAATTCTGCAGTTACGGACATGGTTTAGCCATTGATTCTTGCTATGGAGATGATGTTCTCGATTACTTTAGCTGAATAACGTAAGGCGTTAATGTGATAGTGTTGCAATTCACTTTCTTCACTCTTTTTCTCATTCGTTTCACAGGTAGAACGGCTCATTTCATGAACTTAAGATGGAAAACAGCCGAATAACTGCATGTTCATGTGAGATTGGAACCGGTTCGCATGCTTGTGGGCCCTTTATTTTTTTCCATTTTTCGCAGACTAGAATGGAAATAGCATTGTTGTTCCTGTTCGGCATTAACCTGGATTGTATTTCGGAAATATCCTTTATCTGCGATTTCCAAATCAGGAAAAGGGCTGGTTGGCCAATGGTATGGCTGCGAAGGTAGAAATAACATCTGAAGGTGTGCAGGTCAGCTAGATGCGAAACCAGACTCTACGATTGACTTCTTTTTTTTAACTTCTTTTTTTGACTCGACCAATTATTCGGGTTGAGCTCAGTTTATTCCTTTTAAAAGGCTCGCTCTGCAAAGCCTCCTATATCATAAAAGCTTCCGAAAAGGGCGCTCATTACATCGACTCGTTTTTCATCTAACATAAGTCTCATCGGTTCTGAGCACATTTTCCCGTAAGATTCTTCGTATAATAGCGGACTAAAGAAAGCTTCGATGAGTCATGTTATCCTGACGATGCTATGTTATGCAGTTTCTAACTCGTGATAAATGAACTAAAGGTGTTTTCTTTAGTGCGAGTGTAATAGAAAAAAGTGCACAAGGCGCGTTTCAAACTTCTTGAGTGAGCGTGACTTTTTTGATAGCAGATGAATCCCAAGAAAAGTCCCTTTCTAATTCCTCACAAACTCTTTCATCCATACTATCTCAACAAGTCTTGTTGATGTACTGCATAAGGTCAAAAGTGTCACGATCATATTGAGCCATCGCAACTTCTTAAAACACCTACCGTAATAGCTCTACCTTTCTCTTCTGAGTTATATCGTGATCGATTAGGAAAAGTAGTCGCGCAATTCCGTACCGTGTACTTTTTGAATTACTTCAACCTGAATTATCTTCCTTTTTTCGCAGTCATGGGCAATGATTCATCCAAGTCAAAGTCCTCATCAAGCAAAGGAGTTGCTTCCACATTGGGTAAGGCTTTCACAAAGCTAGTAGTACAGTGTATCAACAATTTATTTTATTCAGGTATCAGAGCAGGACCATCACAAGCTACTGTACAGAGGCACATTGAGAATGCACAGAAGAGTAGAATTCTTCAGTTAAAGTCATGTGGCTTGAAGGCTCTGCCTCCTTCTCTGGAGGAGGTCTGGTGCCATTCAATTTCTATCATCTCTTCAACTCCACTTTTATTCTGTTTTGATCTCCCTTTTAGCTATTTGAAGTGATCCGGAATCTCGAACTCAGTCAAAATAAGATAAAGGAGTTGCCGCCTTCTATAGGAAATTTCACTGTTCTCAAACAACTACACCTTTCAGAGAATGCTCTCAGTAAGTGAAGCTATATCTTTGCGCCTTTATTTCTCCCAGAGTAATCCATATTGAATACTTTTTGCAGCTGAACTTCCTCATGAAATTGGAATGCTAAAAAATCTGGAGATTTTGAATGTACAATCAAATAAGTTGTCCTCACTGCCCGACAGCCTTGTTGGTTGCACATCGCTGAAGACGCTTAATGTTTCGGCAAACAACTTCTCTCAATTCCCCGTGCCTGTTTGTCACTTGATGTCACTTGAGACGTTGAATCTTGCTCAGAACACCATCACTGAACTTCCAGATGAGGTACTTTTTGGTTCCGTTATCGCTTTGTTTCATTAAACGTTAAACGTTTGGGGTATTTGTGTTCAAGTTCACTTGCTTTCTGGAATGCTCCTCCTTTGTGTTTCAAGCGAGCCCTGGAGTTAGGTTTCATTTTGTGATGTTGTGTAATTAGCAGTACATTTTCTATTTTGAACAGGGAACGTTTGAATATCTTTCAGGTGAGCTCTTTAAATGCGTCTGAAGTCAACTTGAATCAAAATCGTCTCAACTTCCTGAATGGAGATGCTCTTGCCAAATGTCCTCACTTGAAGATTCTACGAGTTGAAGAGAATTGCCTCGCCAAGACTGAGTTCACAGTGAATCTGTTGTCGCACTCTCCTGTCAGCATTATAAGTTGCTCAGGTAACATTTTCCAAGATCGAGAATTTCAAGACTTACCTGGCTATGAGGATTATCAAGAGCGTTTCACCGCAACGCGAAGAAAAATGTGACTCACTTCAATGTTTGTACATTAACTGATGCCACTACTTTTTGTGAAATGCCTCTCAATGACCTTTATTCCATCGTTTCTATCTCAGTGATTAACCGCTTAATTTATGACGCAATGGCTCCAAATGTGCTAAAAATTATTCATGCGCTGTTTTATTCTCAGCTTTTTAGAAATACATATCGATTTGTGAAAATGCAATGCTGGAAAGTACCATAAATGTGCTGTTCTTTGATGTCTCCTTTGATACCAAAAGCTATTTTGTATATTTTGCAAGCTTGGAAATAGTCTTAAGGTTGTGGAATTATCTCTGCGATAGAGCTATACATAATGTATAAATATTTATTCTGAAGGTTCTAATTTTACAATATATCACCTGTATTCAATGCAGTACAATATGTGCAGTTCTTATAAGAACATTTGCTAATTTACCCGACAATATGTCAGTACTGTACAATGAAAGCTAGTCAGAACATTTACAACCTAGTTCTCCAGTAAGTGCATCCCGCATGATGGCTGCATTGTGGTCTCTGGAAGTAAACATTCTTATTGGACTCTCAGACTAATATTTCTTCCGTTCCTAATGACCACTATGCATTCTCCCTGTGGGATTACTTGCTCTACACAGGAATATCGTGCATGTGAATGAGTAAATGAATAGGGTAAAAATGATCATAATGGTATGCAATGCTTTACATGAGAATTTCCATGATGTTAGAATATATCCATGAGAATTAGAATAAGGTTTCCATGACTAGAAAAATAGAGTTAAATTTATGCTTGTAACCTTTGCATCTCTGACTGAATCCATGGTAGAGCTGCATAAACTTTTGAGTACACACCGGGTTTACCTCGTCGACCACATCCGATCCCCCAGCTTACCAAACCTTGAACCTCCCAGCGTCCCATGTTAGAGCACATCAATGGGCCACCGGAATCACCCTACGAAGAATTATTTATTATATGGCTTTGAGAAATGTTTGAAATTCACTTAATTCCTCTCACCTGACATGAGTCAATAAGGCCTTCGCTATAACCGGCACAGAACATAGATGGGAAATGGATTCGACCTGCATAGTGGGCCATGTTGTTGCACTGGGTGAATGGGACGATTGGAACGTGGATTTCGCGTAGCACATCAGATCGCCGCCCTTGCTCCTTTGTCATGCCCCAACCTGCAAAGGAATAGAATGAATAGGATTGCATTTTTATTGGTGTACAACATTCCCGATGGGTGGGTGAGCTCTAATTCTACGAGAAGTGCAGGGGAAGGGGAGGCGGTCGGAATGAGGGATTCTCGATGAGAGAATCTGTTTTGATGTATTATTGATTGGAAACCTCATAGAGTAGTTTGGTACCCCATAATCATAGTTTTTTGTGGGCACGATTTGTAGATGTGACTATAAGCTACAGTACTTTCGTTCATCTCCCCCTCCCACCTCCCCCTCCAGATCATATTGAAGACACAAGATTAAATAGAGGATCGAAATGAAGAATCTAAAGTACCTGCAGCGACACACATCTGATGGGTGACTGTGGAAAATGATGGAAGACAAATGCTCTGAACAGTTGTACTCCCATTGAGTTTAACCGGCGGCATAATCCTTAAAATATTCCCATTGAAGAGTGTTGAGTATATAAAGCGAAGATCGATGAAACATCAACGTTTAATCGAGTGAAGCTTAATATATTTTGAATGACATTTCGGTTTTACAGTGTTCATCAAAGCTGGGAAATAGGAAGGGATCCAAGCTAGGAAATAGGAAAGGATTCGTAAAGTGTTTATACAAACCTGTAACAACTCACGAATGAAATGCAGATTTCTAAGACGATGTTGTAAAATGAAGATCATCAGTGGTGTCACTTTCATTTTTAACATTATCTACCCAAGAGTTTTATAATTTACACCAATCTGAATGTGGGAGATCCAGTTGTGAATGAGTACTCATATTGTTAGTTAGCACTCCTAGCACTTGTTTGGGATGATAGTTTCTCAGCAGTCTTCGGTTTTTCCTGGTTCTTGACTACTGTTGAAGCTGAAATTTCGGCTGGTCAAATTTGTCGCTATTCCTGACAATGGGCCAAATAATTTTTGAGTTCATGCTGTACATGTGTGTCATAAATAAATAAATAAATATATATATATAGGCTTCTAACTTACCTTAATAATGCTACATCGTAGGAGCTTGGCCACAGCACGTTGAACAATGAATGAATGGAGATATTACGGATGAAGTGGATTCTGCCGCCACCTGATCTGTGTGCTCCCACGTGAACACGGTACATCAATGGGATGCGGCTGCAAATAACAGATTAAAATGATACCCTTCATGTTTAATAAATATGAAGGAGGGAAATGCAGTCCGGAGGGTGGGGGGTTCTCCTCGCTCCTAAGACTAAGTGCTGGAGTGCAGAGAAGGAGTGCTAGATCACCTCACAATCAGCTAACATCTAGCTCTCTCCTAAACCTTAGGTACAAACTATATTACTATACCTAAAATTCGTTTCTGGGCACCTCACTGACTTAACCTTTTGCCATTTTTCTGTTCTATCCCTACCCTATCTGCTGATTGGACATTCTGGGCGAGTGCGTCCGCATAGCGGTCTGCGTAGAAATTGTCGAGAAGGAGGAATTTCAAAGCAAGTGTATGAGGGAAACTGCACTCTGAGAAATACCGTAGGGGAATGGATTGACAGGTTGAAAAAAAAAGTTTTTTCATACTTCTTGGAAAAGCAGTGTGCTGCTGTCAATACGAATTGCTCATCGATCAAGACACCACCGCATTTGTGCACACCTCGGTAGGTGAGTTGTACTACCCACGGCCAAGAGTGTGGGTCTGCCTCGATTCCTCCGACAAGTCGACTTTCTGGTATCTGAAAACAAAAACTCATGACATTCTTCAGAATTCGTTTTTCTGTCGTAATGCGCAGTTAGACTTTAATAGGACAGGTTAGAGGAGAAATATCCCCTCCTACTTGTCTTTGTCCCGCCTAAACCGTTCAATTCGTTTCATTTGTGTTTTATTTTAGTTGCTCTGAAAAGTTGCTGTGTCGACTGTGCCTAGATTGGCCGAAGTCCTGTTCAACTTTTATAAAACCTGTTTTTGAATTCTCTACCTACGTGTTCTCACTCAAGAGAGTAGAATAACTTTTGAGTACTTGGCCAATACAATGATGCTATTCAACATATCCGTGACCATTATTATACTCTCGGATGTATCCACACAATTATATACCCGAAAAAAATTAGTCTGAGTATGACACGACTCCTTCTCCGGTCTTCGTCCTGGTCTTATGGAATATGCAGCGGCTTTTTCTCTTCGGGTGCTTCTATACTCAGCGAGCTTTTAATCGGTCTCATGCCTCATGCACGTCTGGCGCCCTTCTCTGCGACAAATGTGATAGCGCTCTTGTAGAAGGTTAGGCATAGCAAAAGACGTGAGTTTCAACGGAGACGCTAATCGAAGCTCAGCGGTATTCAAAAGTATCTACAGCCGGCTGCAAACTCGTCGAGTATAGGCTCAGCTGCAAGAGACCCTGCCTCACCGCCCTGGCTTTTTCCAGGTGCTGATGAGGCAACATCTTCTTTTCAAGAAAAAGTTTCTTTCTCTTTTTTCGTTATTGCTCTTTGAAATTTCTTTCTCACATACGTCTTGCAAAGCAGAGCTGCCTAAAAACCAATTGCTTACCCAATCCCAGGATGCTAATGCAAGCATCTGATCTTGCGGCACGCGAATACTCAGTTTCCTGGTCCTTACACGAGAATCCTACCAACGATACAGTAACTTGTGCATCTGTGAAGACCATTGCTCCCGAATCAGTAGCGCCATGTATTTGTGGAATTCGTTGTCAAAGCTCTACCATGTAGCGTAAAATCCCCCACACACATGATTTTGCCTCTATTGGCACGAATCCAAATCTTTACAACGCATTCTGCCGATTCATTACCGAGTAAAAGTCGGGCCTACTTATAATACCCCGTTCCCGAGCAAATTTCTTTTGTGCGTTTGTGCGATTGCGGACCTACAAGAAAAACGCTTGTTTAGGAAATGTCAACCAAGACACGGATTTTCTAGGCATATTTGTCATACTGGTCGTCCCACATTAAAAATGATTCATCCAAAATCTACAACACTCATCATCCCTCATTGATTGATGCATTCCTTTTCATACATCCTCTGTTTTCGCTTGCCTTTTGCTTCCTAATATCATGTATTTATGGGAACCACTTGGATCTAGTTTCCTGTTGATATTTTATCATGCTGATTGGTTTATTTTCCAATTAGACTTCTGCAATATGACTTTCGAACCGGAAGCTTGCCCTGTAGTAGTTGATTGCCATACAAACTTATCAATCACTTAAATTCATTTGGAAACTCACGACAAAGTCGAATGGAGACGATCGAGGCACTTTATTCGGATGTTGTCCACAATTTGGCTCAGCCCGAACTTGAATATATAGGGATGTGAGTATGAACAGCCAAGCAACCGCACGAATCATAACCATTTGAGTCACTGGCGCCATGAACGCCATGAATTGATCTCAAAAGTAGAGCATGACCTTTCTGACCCGACATCATGGTCACTTTCATTTCTTGAGGCTTCTCTTTGTTGTCATCACATGGATTAGAGTTATACGTATTCTAAAAATGTAGTAAATTGTTCTTCATTCATGTTTATTTATTGGCTAATTGGGTGGTTCGGTTGTTGTTTGTGTGGGCAAGATCGAAAGCATGGGGAAGAGACAGAAGCGATGCATAGCATGCTAGTCAATACGCTATTTATGTAGGGCAGTTGAGATAGTTTGCAATTTGAAGGAACTTTAAAAAACGGTTCAGACTTTACAGCCTCTGTTCCACTAAGCCCAAAAGCATTCTGGATAGTCTAAGATCTCGTAATCACCCAAATTTAAATTGCCATTCGGGAAACCCTGTGGGTTGATCATATTCCGGAGAAATGCGGGAATCGAAAGGGGTCCGAATGTCGAGAGTAGGTAAACAACGACTTCGTTTGCAGCAATCTTTATTTTATTTTCCCTTTTGGAAATTTTGTTTGAAACCGGATAATACGGTACTTGATGTAGCTCCTTTTTTCTTCTGAGTGTTATGACCCCCTTTTTATTTGACATATTCCATTTCAAAGGTGATTAAGAGCGTGCATAGAGAGCTGTTTGCCCCTCTTACAGTTATATGCGAAATTACAGCATTTTTCGGTGAATTCGCCTAATTCCGTTACATTTCCATTTTCACCTCCAAAAATCCAATACAATACTTACGTAAGATACTAGTTTTATAATTGTAAAATACTGACGGGGAAACATATTTAGAGAAAAGTTACTGAAGTTTATTTCAACGTGCTACCGTGTTGTAGGTCTTCGTAGTAGCAGCCCCTTTCCTCGGATGTTTCGCGCAGAGATTTCAAGTGGAGGCGAGGGAAGGATTTGATTCCACAGTGGGGTCATGCGACTGAGTCACGACCCATTTTGCGCGGTTCTTTACTTTTGTCACGTTTTCTGTGATGGTTATGTCTTGACGATTAAAACCGTCAAATTATTACTGTACTCCACATATTGATTGACTAGAGGCCGATAACTGGGCCCATGTCGCCGTGCCATTGTTGCGTAGGTCGTTCCTAGTTTTTGTTTTCAATTCGATGCCCCATTTCAATTCCGATCAGTTTTCTGTCTGTTTCCGCTACAGAATCATACTCATTTGCTCGTTTTATAAAAAGTACATTCAACAAAATTTTAACGAAGGGCTTTTCGGATTGAAAGTGAACATTTTTCATTTTTTTTTGTGCTAATAGCCTTCGAATTAGCATTTATTCAAAGTACTACCCAGTCACCGTCAGCCTGGTCAAAATTTGAACAAGTAACAATTATGGGATTAGCTAGAGTAGGAGTTGCAAAACCAATACGAGTTCAAACCTTAGTGGAATCAATGTCTTTCCAAACTACATTCTCAATTCGCAATGAGTGATGGTTAGGGGAGAAGGATGTTTCCGTCGCGTGTGAATTACGCGTTCGCTAATGAATACTGTGTCTGTCCATGTGACATTTCATTGCTAAATTGATTAAGCTTCTTTGCATATCTGCTTGATTGATTACCGCTGTCACGTTGGCTGCTTAATGGGGATCCGTTATCGATAGGAGATAGCGTGTAGTGAGACCCCACCGCATCTTAGGGATGGGCCGGACCCATCGGTTCCTTGTGCTAGCGGTCAAGAAGGCTTTAATCGATCCATCTGCAGAAATTGCATTGTTCAAGTAATCGACCAATATGCAAAGCTTAGGAGCCTACAGATAAGCTAAAGTGTTTGTAAATGCCCTTTTACCCTCAGCAGCGCACAAAATAGGATGTATTGATTACCGCACGCGTCTATGATGCGTCGCGCCAATTACGTGTAACCAAGTACCATTCGACGCTAGCGAAACAGCGTGCGCACTTCGCTTATTACGAATTATGTAGCTTGTTTGGTACGCCATGTCCGATTTCTCATCGTCCGTTGCCGATTGCTATTTGCACATCGCGGACTAGGAAGGCTGTCATAGGACCTTGGTTTGTTTTTTGCTGCATCTTACTCATAATGCAGCTTTCCAGACAGTTATCTATTCTCAGTCTTAGTTGTGCTCCGGCCCCGCAGTTCTGTTTCCACTCAAGAAAATTGTCCTCTGTGCGAGTTAATAGGATTATCGCCCGTCTCCTGAATCTTTGCGTTGCGAACCACCATTTAACTTTGTTCCCACTGAATGTAAGTGGGTGAGAGAACTTCCAAGGTCTTCTCCTCTTCCTACTTGCGTGCTCTCTGCTTTCATATGTATTGATTTACGTTTAAACGTTGTTTGCCGGTTTTGATTTTCTCAAATTCTGCAGTTTACAAATTTTGTAAACATTTGCGCATGACGAACAAAGAGTCATTGTTTACGTAGAGTTTTGAAATTTCCACTCGGTCGTAATGTTTTATGGGCCAGACTTTTTCTAATGAATAATAGAATTACTTTCTGGATCATGTTTTGATTAGGATCTTTGCTTTCATTGTCGACATTATCTTTAGAAATGAACGCTGCAACGACTGGTTCATTGATTTTTCTCGTACGTGCTTATGTGTTCATTAAATCAAATTCAACAGGTTTCAGACCATGGATCCCGGTGAACCGGATCTGCTGTTTTACAGGCTGATTGCATGGGTAGGCTTCTATCTTTAATACCACTTTATTTTCAGTGAAGTGAAACCTATACATAGGTTTATTTCATCTTGAAATATCGTAGTTTTTATAAATTGGTTTTACGCCTGCACTGCTACAACCACTTCCTTGTGAATTCTGCCTTATTGCAGATGAAATCGCTATGTTTGACAACCTTAAGTTTGGAGCCGAAATGTCTTCGGAGCGGTCGTGCTTTTGGTGAAATTCTCCATGGAATGTGAGTTGCTGACATTTCGTGAAATTTTAGTATTCTCATGTGAGGAAAGGGCTTGTCGGTGGTATCGATTTTGATTTATCCGTGCAAGGAACAAGCTATTTCTTCATTTAAAGCTATTTTTTGTGAGGAAATGCAGCATCCAGGATTTCATAGGAAACTATAAAATTACTCTCCATGAAATTTTCCCAAAGAAAAATTTCACAGAAGGCGTTAAGTGTTTTNAAGCGTTGTTTTTCTTAGTGTTCTTGTAAGGTAATTGCTCTTTGCGAAATTTTGTTACTTTTCAGAGACGAAGATTTCTTCAATGAAATGTGGATTGAAAAAATTGCGCACTATGATTCCGATTCTAATTGGAGAGTCAAAGCTAACAATCTTCGTAAGGTTAGTCAATTTCGAGATTGTTAACTGCTGTGAACGCTTTTATAGAAACTTTTAATGCGCAGTTTTTTAATCAAACTTGTCGATGGACTACTGTACCTCTGATCCTCACTAGACCAGGTTTCAGCTTATCCGCAGTCTAGGAGAGTACTACGAAGAGTGCGTTCATAGAATCGTGAAGGGCACACATTTACTTGATATCGACGAAATGGAATTCGGTGAGTTCTGTAGCTCGTTTTCCACTTTCATCTGAATGCGAAACTGAAGTGCAGAAAATTCCTCAAGGAATTAAGTGTTTTTTTATGATTCCGCTAATCTTTTTCCTAAAGTCCTGATACCTATTCCCTGGCGAAGTATTCTGATGTAATCCCTGTAGTGTTTTCGGTATGCACCGTTGACAAGATACATCTGTCTTTAACGAAACCAATGTTGTTTGCAGCTCTTCAAATCCTACTTTTTAGTTGAGTTGGACTAAGTCAAAAAACTTATATAAATTTTCCAGATTTTCTCGCAGTGCTTTGTGGAGCGCATGAATAAGTGTCGTCTAGTTGGCTAGTGGTTTTGCTTGAAACTTGTAAACTTGAAAAGGATGACCCTTGACTCTCTTTTCTAGCACCATGGTTTCATCTCTCAATCACTCAGGGTTCTGTATACTTCTTCATTTTTACATTCTGTTCTTTGCACCAATTTCAAGACTTTGCTCACTTCGCTTCGTTTCATCCGGAAAACTTTTTACAGCTGAGACGGGATCTACCACAGAATTGCTCAAGATGGCTGTTCTCATTGTTGGAGCTGCATTTTTAGGCAGCAAACAAAAAAGTTAGTTCGATTCCTACTCCTTAGGTGGTTTGACAAAATGAAATTATTCTCTTTTATTTTACACCCTTCTACATTTCCATTAAATTTATTTAAGGCTGAAAAGCATCTAGGATAGGCAATTCTTATATCCAAGTTCGAGTTTCTAAGCTTGTAGAAGAAGTACTGCTTTTTGATATTCAGAATTTGTCGACGGTATTACTATGCTGGATCCTGATGTTCAAGGTGGCGTCATGACTGCCATCCAATCTATTATAGAAGGATCTGAAAAGAGAGATATCCCTACACCAATTACATCAGAGGAGGTGTTACCAGATGTAGTACGTTGAATTCTTTTCTCTTCTTTCTTATGCCATCGTCCTTGTATATTGATCACCGCTCTCGTCTTTTTTTCTAGAAACCTAATAGCGCCGGGAGCTCAAGTACGAGTGATGAGTTGGGAGGCCGATTAGCTTCTTTAAGCAAGGAGGTGTGTTGCCTTTCTTTTCTCGAACGAATGGGAGCTTTTTTGAATTGTGTCTTCCCCTCTTGGATCTTGGATATATGCGGGTACTGCTACTATATTATTAAAAAGTTTCACTTATATTCTCTCCATAACATATCTTTCTCTCTAACTAATTCCTCCTCAGATAATTAAAGGCTATATATCGTTCTTCCTGAATCGATTTCTCTGCTAGTCACGCCAGCCTATGTGGGCTGTCCCACAAAACACTGAACCTTCGGCTAAGTCATCTTCCCATTACTTTCGAGTCGTGTAGTATCGAATATGTGTTACTTCCTGAATTTTATGGTGACAGTGTATATTTCGTTGTTGCTTACTTAACTGGTACACTCACTTTTCGTGCATGTGATCACGACGTAATGCATACGATAGCGTTTTTTGCTTGAAAGCAAAGTTACCTTCCTCGAATTCGAGAGAATATCGCTGCGAAATAACCAAGAAACTGCACAGCCCTTTTTTTTNTTTTTTTTCTTTTACGCGTCGTTGTTCCACTTAACTCTTTTATTTGCTCACCTCGGCAATGTTACTGATAAATTCCTTCGAAAATCCTGAAATACAAGGCAAGCAGTTCGTCAGTACCTTATGAAAAGTTGAAGTTTGAAGCAGTAGTGCTCCACGGTGAGACCCCCCCAGTGTCTTCTGAGGTAATTTCCCTCAACCATGAGCGTATAGTTTTGTGATAAAGTCTAAGTGTCATTGATGCCTCACATGATGTCCTCGTCCGAATCGATTGCTGTTTTTATTCCCGCTGAGGCCGTTCATAAATCACTTTACAACATATCTTAGCGCTATATCTAAATTTTCTCATGGACGTACGCGCCAAGAAACCTGTTTTCCTGCATGTGGCTGCCATAGCCTGTGCTGTGGCGAATTTCGCGGGTTCATCGAGTTTCTCTGCGAATAATCATATGCTATATTTGCATCAATTTTGTATGCGAACGGTCGCAATCAAAAAATCCACCATCCTTCGAGCAATTGATTGCTTCGTAGCTGCTATCGACGGCCATTATTCACACGGTGCCCTTCTGTACCCGCTATTCGTGAGCGCTTGTGGCATTTGTTTGTCGCTCCCATATGTGTGTGTGCCACATGCGGCTCGGTAGTTATGTTAAATTGTTTCGCGATGTCCTCGTTTCAATGTCGGAAAAGCAATTGAAGTGTGAAACTCGTCCTTTATTCGCTTTCCTCAACCTCATCTCTGTTCGCATATCTTTTATGACTGCCTTCAAACAGGATTATGTTTCTTGTCATGCTTCTAATTAGCCCTTCTCGCCTAATCAGTTTCTTCCTAGAATTCGGAGCTCCGGCAAGATCGTGACAACTTGGAATTGCAACTAGAGAAGACTCGGCAGCAGTTATACGAACTGACGAAAGGAAAAAGTGCTGAAGCATTCGAGCAGGATCTTATAGATCTGAGAGTAAGTCATGAGTTTCATTTTCCTCACAAGCTCTTCCTTAGCTATGCTATTTTCATTATCAGGAAAAGAAGGCGCGTTTGGAAGTACAAGTCATCGAAGCAGAAACGGAAATGGAATTACTCAAAGGAAAGATAGATTCGGTCTCGCAGGAAAATGAAGATCTTAAAACAAAGGTTGTTGAACGAAAATGGACGTCAAATCGATTATGTCAAAACCGTTGGTTATTTTAGGTTGGACAGATAAGGCCGTTCGAAGATGAATTTCGTCGTCTACGTGATGAAGTGGAGGAATTGCGAGTGAAAGAAGCCGACCACGCAAAGTTGCAGCAGGCCTACGAACAGCTGAAGAATAAAGCCAAAGATAGCAGCAACGATCGTGCCGAGGTATGTTTAGGCTCCTATAGCGTTGGAACTCCATCACTTTATTCGAAGAACACTATAAATTAGTGCTCAGCAATGTTTTTACACAGTATATAATTGCTTTAGTGTTTGCAGTGTCCATTCGATAGTTGTAAGGCACTGGTTTATTTCAGCTGTTGGTTCTACGAGAGAAAGTGAAATCATATGTCGAGCATGGAATGCTGCTTGAGGACGAACAACGAAAAAATAAGGTCCGTTGAGCTATTGGCTACCCGTTCTGTTTTGTTTCGTTGCTCTTCCTTTGCTACCACTTGTGCTTATTTTTATTGCCCCTTTCCTTTCTCCAGGCTTTGCGCACTCAAATGGGCTCTTATAAAGCCTTATCCGAAGAGAAGACTCGAGAAAACGACAAGCTGATTATCAAGGTGGATAAGGTGAGACTTAGTTTTTTNTTTTTTATTGACATTATTTTTGTTAGAAATTTTTGTTGTTATTTGTTATTGTTATTTTTCGAATGCAAACGGTAGTTACGGCTCCATCTGTGAAATAATGAGCAATGAACTCAAGTTCATAGGAGATATAGCTATAAATGGATGGCATGAGTTTAGTGGAAGCGATAAGGAACCAAAGATGAGTGATCATTGTAAGCTCAGAAGCTCCACAAACTCTAAACGTGATCAGAATTGTAAAGTTAAGAGTCAGCGAATGAGCTGAGTCCAGCTAACGAGTTATTTCGACTTTGCCCTATTTCACTATCAAATTTACAACCTGCTCACTCACCAGTAATGCTTTTTCATGGCACTTATTCCTCTATTAATACGTGTTGTTCGTTTAGTTAGAACATGAGTTAGCCACTGCCAAGGATCGTTTGGCTGCTGCTGAAGTTCGAATTGAAGGCCTCGTTCAAGAGAAGATTCTGTTGGAGAATAAAATATCACACGAATGTAAGCCCATTCCTCAGAATCTTCTGTAATGTTTTATTGGCTTTTGGCAACTACTTGGCTGAATTATGGAGTTGGTTGCAGTGGACCCACGACGGAGTGGGATTAGCGCAGGGAATAAGACGTATAATGGCTGCAGGGCTTTATAAACCCCCAATCTACTAATCTTTCCCAAATTCCTCTTCCACTTAGAGAAAAGTGTAAGGTGAATGACTAAGGCAGAACACTAGTCTTGGCGTCTTCAATGAAGATAGGAAATCAGGAGTTTTTTTTTTGGTCGGCCGAGCTGTGGTCTTCCCTGGAGCGCTCTGCCTTTTCGACCGCGTAATATGTGCCCTCCCTCCTAGAACCACTACCATATGCACACCTCTGCGTGCATCAAAATAAATAAATAAATAAATAAATATGCAGTTTTTGAAAAGAAGTTGTAAGTGGGAATTGTATCTGCAGAAATGTATCTTTGTTATAGTTTATGGTTTTATTGTTTCTTAACAAAAATTTGGTTGTTTTTGTATTGTGATCTTCTTGCCAGAATCGTAGGCATAACTGTTGCTTAATGTCGTCCGCTATTTCAGTATCAATGATGGACAGTGTACATAGTCTACACACATCAATGCTCGAATCGACTAATGGTGAATCGTCATTAGATGGAAGTATGATGGAGTAAGTGGTTCATTTCTCTTGCTCTTTCACATCTTCTCATTTTTCATTCGAGCGGAGAGCAATCTTTTAGGTTAATGTAGTTAATCAGAATAGTGCTAATATGGCTTCATATGTAGCTTTTTAGTAGATGATATTTGAATACCTTATTAACTTTTAATTAGCTGAAATATCCACATTTCAAGGGATCGCATTCGTAATGTAGAGCTGGAGAACTCGCGCCTCCGTGAGAGGATCAAAGAAATGGAAGAGTTAGAAGTGGTAAAAGGCGAAATGGATGTCGTTAAAGGGAGAAATCATGAATTGGAAAGTGAGCTACGTTTGGCTAACAAGAAAAAAACGGACTTAGAGGTTAGTGTTTCATGTTTTATCTGAGCAGTTATTCTTTATTCATTTATTTCTTCTGTTCATCCTTTATTGTGTAATTAAGGCAAAAGTGGAAGAGCTGGAGCGTTCGGTTGAAATAGCTGCTGCTTCCTCTTCTGGCGATGTTACTGAAGTGAAATTAAGGGTGAGGGTTACTTATATTTCTATGTTGTTGTCGTTGTCACATCTTTGACGATGACTCATCCAGTTTTGAAGCTCGATATTTCAAACAGATGTTGTGTTTCATTTCAGTCGGAAAAGATGTCGATCGAGGTTGATCAATGGAAGCAGAAAGCAGAACTGTCTGAAAAACGTGCCGCTGAGGCGTTGGATGCACAGTTATTGGCTGAAGGTATGATTATTTCAGAAACCATCATCTGATGATTTTACCAAATAGTATCTCCAAATATGACACTTCCGACTTTGAATAGAGTGTTGAAATACAACGAATGCGAACTATAGTTCGTCTCATACACATTATAGGAACAATTAGCTTCAAAGAGTGGAATAAATATTACTTTTCCTTCTAAAAAGTAATTATATTTGGAGCTGGATTGATGGTTTAAGGAAAAATGAAGGAAATGGAGTTAGAACTGCGAGAAGAACGTGAATCCAAGAGGTCATATTTGGAAAAAGCACGGCAAATTATTATCGATCAGGTTAGTTGTTTTTGTTTGGAATTCATTAGCTTCATTTTGAATGGATTGATAAATGGTGTAGTCCGATACATATACTATCTGATTACCAAGAGGGAGCCTTTGTGCAAAGGAACTAAACTCCTGGCCTGAGGATTGCTTCTGTACTGTTGCCACGTGTCTTTTTGCTAGTACTCTTTTTGCATAATTGTCATTGATCATCATTGTGACGCAGAACGTGGATACGAAATGTTTCAAATTTATCTCACTTTCCAGTTTAGTTCTTGATAGGGTCATTAATCGATCTTTACTTCTCAGTTTGCAGGAAAGAGCGGCTCAATGTGCAGCCGAAGGAGGGCTTAGTCGCCACGAGTTCGACTCCTTACGACGTGAAATCGAGCAGAAGGACAGAAGAATTAAGCAGCTCGAAGAACAAGCAGAACGGACTAGTACAATGCATGAGCAAGAGCAGCGGCTCCTTACGACGGCGTTTTACGGCATGGTGAGATCATGTTCTTTACAATTGCAGGTGTTACCTTCTACTAGGTTGAATCAATCAGGAGTTTGCCTTTTTCAGGCCAAACGCGTCGATGAGTGCAGTCGTATGGCAGAGGATGCAGATTCGGCTCGTGAGCGAAGTTTTCTGTCTCGTCAGAAGCAGGCCAACGCATTTAACCTCCGGTGAATCTACTGGAAAGTCCTCTATTTTCAATGTAAGATTGCCGTACGCTTATTTCACATCAAGCGTCGGCAGCAATATCAGTGCGTACTTCTCTGTTTGGGATGTGTCTTTTGTTGATGTTCCAAGTATTTCCAAAGCAATCGTGCGAAACCTCTGTGTAATTGAAAGGAAATCATCTCATTTCGATAGATATCGCCTCATTAAAGCATTATAGTGCATGTGCCCTTTTGTGATGACTTTTGGAGGCTCTTCAGCCAAGGTGGTGCTTTACCTCGGCTGCGAAAGTTTTGCAGAAATGTTACATAACAAATGTCTAAGTGCTCAAAGGCATTTCGTTCAGAATTCCGATCATGAAATATTGTTCTTCTAAAAAATTTTGAACTAGCTTTCAGAAAAACGCTGTTTTTTTGGAATTAAATAGCATTTAAACATGAGATTTTCCAAAAAAAATCCCTTATATATCGCGTTACCGATGTCATGCGATCATATAGATGTTTTTTATCATTTCTTTTTATCATCATGTTTTAGATACTCGTGATGATGGCACTACTGCTCTGTGATGTACCTCGCGGGTGTTCGTTTTACAGTTTTATTTGCACATTCTCCTTTATATAGCTTCCTCTTTCTGTTTAACTTGAATTGCCTTAATGCTTTATTTTTTAGTTTTACTTGCGCTTTGATACCATTTCATAAAAGTTCCCATAGTAATCGCTTCTTATGGTTTCTCAGATGCATCTGCTTTGAACAGTCTTCAGTGCCTTACGCTTGTAGAGTCCCGAGTAGCAATTTTGCATTTGAAATTATTTGAAACGAAAGTTGAACTGCTTCTTTGGTTTGTTCTCCTCTTATAATTTTTAATACTTTGTCATAATATTATCTTTCATAATAATTTATTTGTGGTCGATAATGGTCAAATTCGGGATTCATTCCAGCTAGAGCTTGCTTTTCTAGATTTCACATCTATCTTGTCGCCCAAAAATTAGATCCTACTACTGTGGGTACTTCACGTAGCCGCCCGCGTCGTATAGTCTTTCATGCTGGCTTTTCGGGGAATTTCGGCATACTAACAAATCAATAACGTTGAAGATCTGCAGAAAGAACGTCTCATTCACGACCATCTAAGAAGCGGTTGACCGATCAAGGGTACGCCATGCATTACAGATTTTTTAATTTCAAAGTAATTGTAAGAATTTTTCAATTGGGTCATAGAGTAGGTAATTCCATTGTGATTAGGCCCCGTGGGATAGCTGGGATGAGAGATCAAAAGTTCGAGTTCGTAAATTGAAGTGGTTTTCCGTATGCTCACCATGCTGTGTTTCAAAGCGGATATTTTTCTGAAATATATACTTGATTAGTGTTATTTTTCTTACTGCGTCCCTCAAAATGATCCCTTTTCATGACCAAATTCGTTTTTTGTTGTAACCTTGTGTGGATGTGTGTGTTGCACTGCATGGCTTGACTTTTTATATTGCTTACGGTCTGTTTCCTACAGATCGACAACCACGTCGCACTCGCTAGCATGGTCTGAATCGATCTGTAGCTTACAGAACGCTAAGATCGTTTGGTTTCCTTGGTAGATAATGGTGATGGTAGCAGAAATGTGTTTGTTTAGTGTTGTACTGCCATGGTTGTTGGTACTACTGCTCGTCGTTTATGTTGTACTCGGCTACATCCGAAATTCGTACAGGCTGACGTGGTGGTTGCTTCCGGTACGGTACGTCTAATAGCCAGCCACTAACAAATGTATTATTACGTGTGGGCAAAGCTTTTTTGGATGTCCTTCGTAGTACTTAACCCTTATCATCCCGGTCACGGGTAGATGACATATTAGAGATTCGAAGTTACCTTTTTTTGGCTACAACTTCCGATCAGGAATGAGCGGAATCCACAGTTCACGATTTGTCTTTGACAGTTGGGGTTGTCGGCGATGAACGGTTAGTGTGAGGGCTACCCCATTCAGGGCGGACCTCCCACTACTTGTGTCATCGTATCACAATAATGGTGCACTGCAGCCCCTTATTACGACCTGTCTTATCATTTCTCTTACTAAGATTCTGGGCTGATCCCACATGACACGCCCTTCTGAGTTCCGCTTGTTCTTGGTCAATGAGGTGTATCCCTTATCTGTATATAATATATCATCGGAGTTTTCATATTCTCGAAGATTTTAAAATTCAGATGTGCTGTTAAACTGAGTCTTTTGATACCATAGTTATCAGAATTTGGTTTTATTTGTTATGTTGAAATAGATTTTGTGTATTGTATGAAATTCTTGTGTCTTCCTATAGATGTTGAACATTATATTTTGTATGCGTCTTTTGGAAATATTGATGCTTATGCTGATTACATAATGTTGAATTCAATTTTGGTGCAATAAACGGTAACCAAAATGTCGTATTTGTTGTAAGTTGGATAAATCTTTAATCAAAATCTTCCTCATTTTGATTGTAGTTCCTGAAGTACTTTGACATATTTACTGTTATCTTTTTTGAAGAAATCGTAAGTTGTAAATTGAATTGGTTCCTGGCTTTGCAAAAGTAGTGGTGTGCTCAATATTGGTATTTTTTTATGTCATTCCAAGATGATGTATAGAAGTAGACAGTTTGGGAAGCAAGCGGTCGCTACACGTGTGCCCTAGCTTGCGAGATTCTAGAAACACGAGCGTAGTTTTGGTTTAGTTGGTTGACTGGTACATAAATTCATTGAAATATAATCAGTAATTGGTAGTTGATAGTGTTGGGATATTATGTTGTGAGATCATAACATAGAACTGACTAGGAAGGAACTCTTAATTGATGGGTTACTCAATCCAATCGCGTTGCATCGCTCGCGCTAGCTGTCGCATCATAAACCTAGCTGTTCCAGTACCTCTTCGTCTGCTTCGAATTTTTCTGCCAATAATTGTTTTCCATTGAAGACGGGAGCGACTCCAGTGATACATTTTGATCAAAACATAACATTTGGGATTGACAGAAGCAGCACAGCCTCGCTACGCGTCAGAATATGTGATGCTGAGTGGCATGTGAACGTATTCTTTATACTAATTTAGAGCGGGGCAGATCATGTTCAAGTAAATCCGTATATGCGAGGTTGCAGCTTGTAAAGCTCGTCCTAGTTCTTAAGTAGAAGCAGAACACTTGAATGGACTCAGTCCTACTCCATTCCAATGTCCTGTCTCTGATGTGTGTGTGTGTCTGTTTGCCTGTTTAGGGTTGGAATCATTTGCTATATACGCATTTTTTGTTTTTCTCGGTGAATTTCGCTATGACTGGGAAAAAAACAAAGGAGCAGGAAAAGCTACTGAGAATCCAGTTTTTTTTTTAAATAAATTTTGCTTGATGCGAGGCGCCGGGAGACGGGCGATAGGAACGATTTTGGGTAATCGATTCGCCGCACGCGGCTGTCGCGGACCTCATTCGCCGTTATTACAGCTCTAGCGTTCTTCATACAGCTCAATCGATATGCGCTCATTATTTCATGCATAATTCTACTATTAGTACTTTTGTTCTTGTATTTCTTACCTACCGCTGCATCCTGCTACATTCATTTGCGCGCGACGCCCCTCTCATCGCCCCATTTCGTTCCTAATGCACCACACCCCAAGGTGTCCCTTACCTCTTATTACTGTTGGACTTACGGTATTACTTAATCCGGGAGCTGCGATGTTTGTTTTGTTTACAACCATCTTATTAGCACGGCGCATTCGTCGCCTTTGCGGGTGAGTGTGGATGTTTTTGTTCAAATCCTTGCTAGTTAACTAGATGTAGTGTGAGAATCATTTTTTGTACTGGCTAGTGGGTGAAAATCGTTTTTGTAAAGAGCAGCCTGGAAAATTGTTAATTTTTTGCAAATTTTCAATTTTTGCAGATTAGATAGCATTGCCATAGCATAGAATTGTAATGCGTCAACCATGCAGGACATTTGGGAATTTGACAAAGGAATTGTTCACGAAGGTAGGTCAGAAACGATGTACTCTCAATAATTTCCAACTAAAATTACTTTTTGGTTTATAACTCGGTCAGATTTGTTTACGTTCATGAGTGTCAGAATTTTTTCTGTTGAGGCGACGTAAGAATGATTGAGGGATAGGGTCAAGTTATTATCACGCGGAAAGTTGTATTACTGTATTACTCTGTTTGAAGGTGTCGGTTGTCGAGGGTCGTGTTGCAGAGGACGATGTTCAGAACTATTTTTCTTTTCGTGTCTTGCTGCTTTACATATTCTTTTTATCTCTTCACGTTCCCTTTTTGGAAAGCTGAAGAGATTTTATTACAAAGGATCTTTCTCAGCATGGTACTGACAGGGAGAACGTCCGTTGCGCGTGTCCGTCGAAAGTAGGTCACCCCGCCCACTTCGCGCGCGGCGCATCACACTGAGGTCTCGAGATGACATTACAGTACCACCAAGTGTCATTGGAGCAAATGATTTGCATTTGTCTGTGTTATCTTCTTCTTGAACTGACCGCCGTGGACCAAACGCAAAGCGTATGCCCCAGTGACAATTGCGACATCTGTCAAATATCGCGGGCAGACTCGCCGCGTACGACGGCTGCGGCGTGACCTAGTTTCCACGGACACGCGCAACGAAGCGCACCCGTACTGACAGAGCTATTGTGATCACTGTAACCCAGGTCATGAGGTGCCATATCCGCTCATGCCGATGTCAACTGCTCAACTTTTAGCTTTCATCGGCTCTGGCATTTGTTGTGCAGTTGTGTGTAATACTTTTTCTTTAACACATTGCTTCTGCTTTTTTCTCCTTCTTGCTTCTTCTGCTTCTTCTTGCTTGATGATACTTTCGTGTCCATCCATGGCAAGGTTTGAGATAGGGAGGCTAAACTAATAAAATGTCAAAGACATGCGTAAAAGAAGCATTCGAAGAAAATTTGCCGGTCTCACAACTGTTGACGAATCGCCAATTGCCTGATAAGAGTCTTGACAGCCGTCCTCGCCGTACGCGGCTCTTTGTTTCCGACCTTCGACCGATACGAACATGCTGGAAGCGGGGCTGACGCATGAGATCCCACAATGACTCAGAAATTAAATGATACCTCCTGAGGCCAATATTGAGTAGAATTCATATACCCTTCATCTTTCAGTGATTCTATCAGGATATTACAGAAACTGACGGAGGCGAATGCCATTCCGATGCACCCTCGTCTGGCAAAGGCGCCAACGGATATGTCGGTCAGGTGTAATTGGGACTTACCTCACTGTCTCAAGTTACTGGTTTTTTAACTGACAAAGAGGGCATTACAGGTTTTAATTCCTTTACTGGAGGTGAATTCAACGCCATCTGTATTGTTTACAAAACGATCCATCCATCTAAAAAGTCACCGTGGTGAAGTGTGTTTTCCGGGTGGTAGAATGGAAAAGGGCGAATCTATTGAACAGGTTGGCCTGCTTTTTGTATTGTTCTGGCGCTGTTTTTTCATTGTGATTGGTTGATGGTTTTTTTGAAAGAATTCAATTTTGAATATACTAATGAATGTGGTAGGAAACATGTTATTGAGTTTGTGTAAATTTAAACTTTTATTGGTCTTATAATACGGTGAATTAGGGGTGCTGCTGGTTTGAGAGTAAGATTAGGCTTCCTGCATTGAGTAGTTTTCCGCCTACGTGATGGTACCTCGATGACCATTTATCATAACTATAGCATTTAGCATTGTTGTGTTTCTCCAACAATAGCCACCGCTATGGTCAAATTTGACCGGATTTCAAGCCTAATTTTTGGGGACGGGCGTTAGGAACGATTTTGGATAATTGATTCGCCGCACGCGGCTGTCGCGGATCGCTCATTCGTCGTTATTACAGCTCTCACGTTCTTCATACAGCTCAATCGATATGCGATCATTGTTTTATGCATGATTCTACTATTAGTACTTCTGTTCTAGTTTTATACCTACTGCTGCATCCTGCCACATTCCTTCGCGCGCGACGTCCCACTCACCGCGACGCGACAATTTCGTTCCTACTGCACCACACCCCTAATTTTCTTTTCTCCGTGCGTTAAACATTATTTGACCACTCCCATGAGGTTATTCGGAACTTAGAAAAGGTGAGATCGTATTTTGCGAGCTAATTGATAGAACGAGTGTGAGCATTTCAATTCGCTCCTCTCATGAGCGTACTCTCATAAGTTTTGATATATTTCAGTACTTTGCTAATTATTTCATTCTTTATGACTTTAAATTTGAGAAGATGAATTCTCATGAGGTGTCATATAAAATGTTGATTGGCTATAAAAGTTAGCTCCCATTTTCATGCATAGATGCTATCCCAATCACAGCGCAGAAAACTGGTTCTTCGTTAAGGCGGCTCTTCGAGAGACCCACGAAGAAATTGGTGTTGAGCCGGACTCAGTGGAAGTATGGGGTCGTCTGAAGCCGGTGTTCACACGAACGATGACTGACACGGTAGTGCCAATAGTTGGATGCATCGGTTACGAAGCTTTGCGAACTGATTGCGTGAATAAGGGAGAGGTAACTTTTTCTTGGTTCCACTATGATTGAAATGAAACTTGGGCTGGAATTGATAGAAGCCAACCCTGAAACTATTTAAGAGTGAAGAACCGACCCCCGGATTATTTTGTGGTGAAGTATAAAAAACCTCAAGAGGCTGAAGTAGGCCCGATGGTTTGATTTTGCTTACAGGCAATGGTTATTGTGGTTAAGGGGGTATTCGGGTGGAATA